ATATTTTGAAAGTGGCCAATTATAACTAACAACTTTATAAAGTTATATTTCAAAAAATTTTAATGGACAGTCCATATATGATATTCTTTTCAACATAATTTGTTAAGCACTGGTTAAATACTGGGCACATTCTACTGGACTCTGTAGGGAATACAAGTTAATCAGATAGCACTTTTTTTAACCTCCAGGGGTTTGTAATCATCTTATGGAACTTGGTAAACATCTGAAAACTTAAAAAAGAATACAAGGTAGAATTTATTTAAATACCTTTCATTTACAGTATTTCTAAAGTCTCTAAAGCATCTATTTGGACAAGTCATTAATATACCTCTCTAACAAATGAATCAGAGATGTTTCTCAATACAAGAAAATAGAAAGGAAAAAGTTTAAACAGCTTCTCTAATTATAAGATAGTTTATAATGAATCATTCACTTCTGAAAATGTATAGGCAATCATGAGAATTTATGCCAAAAATAAACGTTTATTAATACTGCATTAGGGAAAACTATTGTAGATTGACTACTTTTTCAAATTCAGAAAGTCTGTGTTTGCTCGGTAAGCCCTGGATTAATTGAATATAGTTAATCAATAAGAGTTTCCTCTTATATCATTATCCCTGTGACATTTACATCAGTTTAATTTACCCCAAAGTTGATCACCATGAGATTTAATAGTTTTCTTTTTTGACATGTGTGATCTGAACCATAGTACAAAGAGCACCAGGAACTTGACCAGCTCGTCTGAAAGAAATCTTCATTTGCATGTCCTAACTTAAAAATAATCCTTTGAAGTAAAATGCCATGTCTGAAATGACTCAGAGAGAGAGTACTCAAATCAACAAGCATCATATATTTACTGCTTTGTATTTTTCTCTCTTTGTCAGAAGATCACCCATGTGCAACCAACCATCCATCAACAAAGCCACCATAACAGGTAAGAAAGATCTGGGACCTATTCTTCACATGTCTAGGAAGAAACTATGTCTTCCAAGAGTAAATACAATACTATCACTAATTTTACACTGTAATATGAAAACTTTAAAGAATTGAATTGTTCCTTCTCTATGTTATCATTTTTATCATTAATCTCACAAGTTGTCCATTTAATCTGTTACTTGGAAAATCTTTACCAGTGTACCATTTTTTAAGCATTTAACTTCACGCTTGTACTCAGTTTAGCATTGCTCTGGGCATTTGTATTGTGAGAAATAGCATTACCTGCAAAATGTTTACCATTTTGGTTCCACGCTTATGTTATCAGCATGATATTACTACGTGGCAGCCTAATTTAATGAAAATGAAAGCATAAATAAAAGGGGTACCTTCTTGGTTAATCAATATCCCAGTTGTGTATAAGAAGGAACATTCTTCCAGGAGTCCTTATTAGGACCCAAAGACCTAAGGATAAATTCAGTTTGAAAGGGGAGAAAAGTTAACATACAATCCAGAAAAGTTTAATGAGATCAAAAGAAAGAGATGAATAGATGTTTGAGAAAGAAAAATAGAAGAAAGAATGAAGGAAGTGAAGGGCATACAAATAAAATTATCCCAATTCCTATTAGTCTGAAACAGAACTTGACCTCAACTGAACCAAAAACAGAATAAGTGATCTCATTTTGCTGAACCTGAAACCAAATTGAACTCATTTAATCATTGCTTGAAACCCCAATTGAGTCATTAAAATAATTGCCTGGAAAAGAAAACCTATATTTTCTAAAATTATTACTAGAAGAAAATTAACATATTCTCCAAACTAGACCAATACTTCATTCCTTCAAGTGGCTTCCTCGAGTTCCAACCCATAATGTGCTAAGGAGCTCCTTATTAAGTTATTAGTGAGTATACTTTCCTCGAAATTTAACTTTATCATGCCCAGTCAACTAGTTGATTTGTGGTCACCACATCAGAATTGATTCTGGAACAGCTGTAAATGTCTCCTTTTCTGAATGTCTGTCAAATAGCACTTGTATCTGAATGAATATTAAATTATTGGTTCTCTTTTCCATGTTTCTCATTCAAGATCTTATTGGTGATGATTATCAATTGTCATTTCATAGTGTATATATGGTCTACCAGTTTTGTTCTTGACATTGATCAAGAACCTGCTCTGGGCACCAGGTCTGACCCATATGAAGATGGACTACCCTCCCCTTGTTTTTGCAATAAGCAAGCCGGATGCTGTGGGTTGAGCAGAATGCAGTGCTATTTTGGGCCTTGACTGAAAGCCTTTTTAGCTTGAGGTCACATATGAGCTGGCCTCACAGGTGAAGCAGCGTTGTCCCAGAAGAGCAGCTTCAGGTACCGGTGGAAACTGTTGTGTCCAACAAGAGATGGTTGGGTGCTTGGTGGTCAGGGCAGCTGCCCAGCCACCCCAGCAGATGCCCAGCACAGATGAGCAGGAGAGTAGCTGCACTCAGAGGGCATAGACTTGGTCTTAAACATATGTGAGAGACCCCATAGAGGCTCTCAGAAATTTTTATATATTTTTGAGGCCCTAGAACAATACCAGAGGGAACTATGAGCCACTAAAATTGAGAAATAAAGTTAACATGGCCACATTTGTACCCACAAGCTCCTGACCCAAGGCCTGGGGACAGTGGGGCTACAGAAATACCGTACCTAGGAAGGGAAACTGATGAACTGTCACTAACTGCATAGCACAGCTGGGCTCGTCACAAAGCACAACAGGAAATTAACTGACTAAAGATGGGAAGTCTTCTTTCTTGCCCAAGCGTAGCAGACCAAGGTGGTAATGTGGGATGGGGGCTGGGGGGAAGACAGCAATAACAGGGGAAGGTTCCTCTCTCTGAGCTCACCCTTGAAGACTAAGCAGTAATAATAATGATAATGTTGGTTGCAACTTGGATTATAGTAAGACTTAAGACACTCAGGAAAGGCGGTGCTGTGCCTTCCCTCCCTGTCAGCTGACTGCGCAGGCCCTGCCCCCAGCCTCACTCCTCCTGTTGTTGGAACCTGGCTGTATCTCTGCAGTGGCCCTGGAAGTGTGGAGAAGTTAAAACAAGTTAGTTGGCTCCCTTTAAAGTGAAGGTGGCCTTCTTAGAGATTTTGTTTATGGTCTGGAGGAACAGTGTAACCGAACAGTTAAGTTCATGGCTGGTCCAAAAGGCTGCACAGCTCCAGGCACCCCTGGAGGGCAGCTCCATAGAACAGCACGACCACGACGTGTTGTCCCTAGAATTGTACCGAGTGGGTGCTCTGCCTGTCTAGAACTCAAGCCGTGCTCTATCATGATAGCTCTGTGGCCCTGGGCAGGTTACACACCCTTTCTTTGCTCAGTTTCCCCATCTCTAGAATGGTGAAACTACTTCCTTTAGTTGTTTCTAGGTTGAATGAGAGAACACGTGTGATGCTCTTAGCACAATGCCTCACAGAATCAGCACTCAATGCATCATTTTTCTTTTGTTTTGTTATTATTTAGCTTTGTTTCTAGGGCTCAGTCTGTACAAAAATCTAGGAGTGTCTTAGTTCGGGCTGCTGCAACAAAGTACCATAGACTAGGTGGCTTATAAACAACATAAAGTTATTTCTTACAGTTCTGGAAGGTGGAAATCTGAGATCAGGGTGCCAGCATGGCTGGGTTCCGGTGAGGGCCCTCTTCTGGGTTGCAGACTGCCACCTTCTCATTGTATCCTCTCATGGCAGAAAGAGGGTGAGAGATTAGGTCCCTTGAGAAGGGCACTAATCCCATTCATGAAATTTAACTTTATTGACCTAATCACTGCCCAAAGGCCCAGCCTCCAAATATCATCGCATGAGGGGTTAAGATTTTGATATGAATTTTAAGGGCACACAAACATTCAGTCCATAATAAGAGGTGATGAAAAGAATAGGCCAAAAAGACAAAAGAAGGAAAGGGAACAGTGCGAGAAAGACAAGCTTGCAGGATCATAAAATTCATGAGTCCCCCCAAATGGTCAAAGTGGACACACTTACTTCATGCCATCAGATGGCGTCTCTTATATCTCCTAGCACTGTATCCTTCACTGTCATCACAGTCAAAGATGTCAAGGTGTCTTTGTGATGACATAGGTGACAGACTATTGTCCAAGGTAATTTTAAAGTCTAAGAACTTACTTTTGAGCCCTAGTTTTTTGAAAGGAAAAAAGTTTACTTTCTGTAACTTTTCCATAATCCAATTTTTTAATTTTTTAAAAAAGAAGAGTTAAGAACTTCAGTTGTGTACATATATTATACCATGCTTTCTAAGGATGTCTCCCTAGAACTCACAATACCCTTTCTCCCCCTTCGAGGTTATTCCGTTCGACATGTATCATTAGGGTTAAAGTATATTAGTCACTTGCCGGTTTGTATTTCCATATATAATTGGTAAATATATAGATCTAAAATGGTTTAATAAGTCTTTAAAAATAAGGCTTTTAAGTGTGTGCATTTATAAAAGAGCCTTACTACTAAATAACATATTTGCTCTTTAGTATCATATAATAAAAAGATAATGTGTGGCATTTGAATCCTGAGTGCAAACCCAGTCTCACTTTTGCTTTATTTTCTCATTTGAAGAATGGGGATATGAGTACCCACCTCTTAAGACTGTCGTAAGAATTCAGGGAGATAAGTTATATAAAGGGTAAAGTTCAGCAAGTTATGAGTTACTTGCCAAGTGTTTCTTCCCTACAACCTGACATTTTTTATTCCTGAAGCTAATTTAAAAATTGGTAGAACAGAGGTAGCAGAGGACATTGAGAATGTATCAGTCATGGGAGGACATTTTTAGTGATCCCTCTATCACTTAGGGTAAGGCTCATCTGCAGAGGTTCTTAGTGTGTGGTGCATCCCAGAACTAAAGAGTGTGTTGAAACAAGAGAATCTGACAAAGCGTCAGAGATGCCCACACCACACCTGTATTGGGACAGTGATCACCTGTTTTTGGAGTAGAGCCATGTTGCTCGGGGCATAGTCAGTCCTTTTGAGTATTTCATTTTCGAACGATGTTAAGAAAAGTGTTTCGCAGCCGTATCATGAAAATTTGTCATGTCTTTACAATATCATTTTCAGTATGTTTCTGAATTTCCATATTTTCAACCTCTTTATTTAATCATCTTCAGTTTGAGGATTTTCCTGCAAAAATGTAACTCAGAAAAAAAAGATCTATATAAATATCTTATTTTAAAGATAAGAAAACTGAGACCTGGTAAGAGAAGATGCTACTCACTGACAGAGCCGTGAATAAACATGTGGTTCCTTTTTCCAAGTCCAGGGTCCTTCTTACACCCTTGTGAAATAAAATGACTCATCAGATTTACAACCTTTACAGCCACTATAGAAATAAATATTTTAGAGAAAGTATAAGAAGTATTAAAGACTATTAATTTCTGAGTAATAGATGTAGCATTGGATTATTTGTACATGGCTTGAAAATTAGAAAATACCTTGTTCCAACTCACTGGACATGTCTTTACAGTCAGTGCTGTTTTGATTATATCTGCTGATTATATATCCTAGAGACATAAAGATAGACAGCCTAAGGCAAAGGACTTCTGGCTTTTTGACTTTGGAAAATACAAGTTCTTTTATCTAAACAGTAAAACAATTGCCTACCCATCACCTGCAGAGGGAGACACATGCTGCAATGACAAAAATAAAACTACACAGTAGTTTTAGTGTAGGAAAAAAATTGGTGCAATTCCACTTTGATTTTGTTTACCCTGAATATTCACAGCTCCATTAAAGAAAAGTACATTCTAAATAGAATTTAGTTAATCGGTTAGTAGAGGATTAAAAAGTAAACTATCCAACTAATACTAGTCAGTCGCAATGAGTCGCAATGAGAAGAAACTTAATCTTATATGTTTCTGGTTCTTCTAAAGCATAAAATAGTTCCTAAGATTTAATAAGGGGGGAGAAAAACAACAAAGATATTTAACTGGAACAATTATTTTGTTATTATCTGGGTTA